TTAACTATAAATAAGACCCTGAACCCAACTTTTTCTTCATTGATCAACATGTATTCCGAGGAGACACCCCTCCCTTCTTTTCAATTGAAACACGAGTTTACCATGGTGATTGCTGGACCCTCGAAATCGGGCAAAACAGAATTCGTCAAGACATTAGTGAACAATAGAGACTGGATCACCCCCATGCCCGAAAAAACCGTCTGGTGTTATCGGGAATGGCAACCCGCTTACACTTCTTTAAATTGGTTACTCTAGATATTATGGTATGATACTGTATGCAAATTAAAGCATGTTTATGTCTGTAGAATTTGCGATTTTCGAATCCCCCTCCTTTTTTTAAGATAAAGTGCTTAGCTATTTGAAAACAGCAAATACCAATAACATTTTAACATGCGAATACTCATTATTCAATATACATGTATACCAAGTTGTACATAGGAATTTGCTTTCATGTACCTTATAATATATGTATAGCTTTCAAATCCCGCTCTCTCCTATCTCTATGAATAGCAAAATATTACTCAAACAATTTCAGTAAAAGTTTTCATATTTATTAACAAGTCAGTAATTATAATTATATCTTACAAAATAATCTCAAAGCACCTTAACATCAAAACAATTATATACATTCAAAACACATGACATTAATTAAATGTTATACACAATTTTCTGCACAAACATTCAACATTATGAAAACGAAATGTTAATGAGAGTTCTGCATTAACATTTCAACACAATAAAAACATGTTCTTGAACAAGTCTGTTGATGGATTGCATCCTCTTATTTTTCGTTTGTATTCAGAGATTCTGAAAATGACTTGGCACTTGTGTTTGGAGTATTAGAATGTGAGCACTTGCATCAGTTTTTCTTGTGTGTCTGGCGGTGACGGAGCATATTTCCGGACTGGGCAAAACACTTCCCGCACACTGGGCATGCGTAAGGCTTCTCACCGCTGTGGGTACGCTCATGCTTCATACACGTGGAGTAGTCGGCGAATGCGCGCACACAAGTCCTGCATTTGTACGGTTTTTCGCCAGTGTGGATCCGGAAGTGAGTACGCAGTGTGGACTTCTGGGTAAAGGCTTTCCCGCAGACGGAACACTTGTGAGGACGTACTCCGGTGTGTGTCGCCATATGGTAGTTGAGATTTGTGTTTCCTTTGTAGATTTTCCCACATACATTACACTGGTATTTAGCTGGTTTGGGCATCGACTTCACAACATAGGTAACCGATTTCGTCGTTTCGTCACACGTTTTGCTTATCTTGTCCAAATTGGAGCACACTTCTTCGAACTTCGAACACTCGGTTTTCACATCAACGTCACAGAAAAGCTTTTGTTGCAAAAGTTCAACCGCGGAGGAATTTGGAGAGATCGATCCGCTGGAATTCACAGAGGCATTGTCACTGAAACTGCAGTATCCGCCGTCAAACTCGTCATCCATGATGCTGGACGCCAGGTCACTAAAGGTGCCATCATCAGTAGTGTCAGGGGTCAACGAAGTTTGGTAAACACAGTCGGATAGGTTGCTTGGTGTCTGCTGAAACTTCTTAGCAACATGATGGCTCCTCTTCAGTTTTCTGTTGAGCTGCGGATCGCTGTTAAGGATCTTCTGGAAAATTGCGGACCTTAGAGTATTGGTGTGGTTGTTGTTATCTTCTTCCTCCAGGCTGGAAGGAAGATGGTTGAAATCAGGAATGGGAAGATCTTCCTCCAAACCAAGGGAAGGTCCCGTATGATAGTAAGACTGCTGACTGGCTGAGACACCTGATGATATGGCTGGTACGCGGTAGAAATCATCGTTGGTGATGAGAACACAGGGGTCCTTTAGAGTTTGCTGACAGATGCCTTGTCTGAAACAAAACAAAATATTGTTAGAAACACAAAAACGGGATTTAAACACAATGTAAAAATGGGATAGAAATTAGGATTGTATATGAAGAACTTCCCAATATTTCGGGAGTTAGTTTGATGAATTAAACAAGGTAATTCAGGGACTTAAGAATAAGGACAGAAATCAAAACCAAAAAGGATTATGTTCATTTAAAGACATAATTCAATTAAAGTTGTAACCCAGTCTATGCTTCTAGTGGTTAAATGATCTTGCAACCTTGACCTTTTGTCTTTTGATCTCATCATAAGCATGGTCTTAAGTTCTCCACACTTCAGGTATCCGCCCCATATTTGCCTCAGATTCAATGGAATGCATAACAGATATGAATAGACTGAAAACTCTGTTATAATATTTATGCTTAAGATCAGTATGTAAGTGTAGAACATGCATAATTTATGCCCTTGTCCTGGTTTGAAGAGTTATCGCCTTTTAATTTTATTCAATAACAAGAGGCCCAGGGGCCACATCGCCCACCTGAGCACATCGGCTAGGAAAAAGCACATGAGGATGATTTCACATGAGTTTCATCTTTCCTGTCTCAATGGTTCTTGAGAAAAAGATTTTTAAAGATTTTTCCTATATATTCCCATGTAAAACTTTGATCGGCCATTTTGGCCCCACCCTACCCCGGAGGTCATAATTTGAACAAACTTAAATCTACATTACCTGAGGATAATTCCTCATAAGTTTCATCTTTCCTGACCCAGTGATTTTTGAGAAGAAGATTTTTAAAGACTTTTCCCATATACTCTTATGTAAAACTTTGATCTGCCATTTTGGCCCCACCATACCCCCGTGGGTCATGATTTGAACAAACTTGAATTTACACTACCTGAGGATGATTCCACATAAGTTTCATCTTTCCTGGTCCAGTGGTTCTTGAGAAGAAGATTTTTTAAAAATGCCATTAATTTTTCTCTAGTTCATAATTATCTCCCCTTGGAAAAGGGTGTGGCCCTTCATTTGAACAAACTTGAATTTCCTTTACCCAAGGATACTTTGTAGCAAGTTTGATTGAAATTGGCCCAGTGGTTCTTGAGAAGAAGATGAAAATGTGAAAAGTTTACGACAACGACGACAACAAAGGACAAATTTTGATCATAAAAGCTCACTTGAGCCTTCGGCTCAGGTGAGCATAAAAGTAAAAGTAGAAAAATATCTCAGGTATAGAATCCGGAAGGGCCATGCAATTCACTATCGCATCATCGAGCGCGATAATGCGATGACGACGAAGCGATGGTTCGATGACGATGAAGCCTAGGTGCGATAGCGCGATGACGATGGTGCGATGACGATAATGAATATCCCTTCATCGTAATCGCGCCATCATCGTTGCATTATCGCTCCATCGTACTATACCATTGTCATCGCATTATCGCGCCATCACATATTCGTCAACGCGCCATATCGCACCATCGCTTCATCGTAACTGCACCGTCGCTTCATCATCATCGCATAATCGCGCTCGATGATGCGATAGTGAATTGCATGGCCCTTCCGGATTCTATACCTGAGATATTTTTCTACTTTTACTTTTATGCTCACCTGAGCCGAAGGCTCAAGTGAGCTTTTATGATCAAAATTTGTCCTTTGTTGTCGTCGTTGTCGTAAACTTTTCACATTTTCATCTTCTTCTCAAGAACCACTGGGCCAATTTCAATCAAACTTGCTACAAAGTATCCTTGGGTAAAGGAAATTCAAGTTTGTTCAAATGAAGGGCCACACCCTTTTCCAAGGGGAGATAATTATGAACTAGAGAAAAATTAATGGCATTTTTAAAAAATCTTCTTCTCAAGAACCACTGGACCAGGAAAGATGAAACTTATGTGGAATCATCCTCAGGTAGTGTAAATTCAAGTTTGTTCAAATCATGACCCACGGGGGTATGGTGGGGCCAAAATGGCAGATCAAAGTTTTACATAAGAGTATATGGGAAAAGTCTTTAAAAATCTTCTTCTCAAAAATCACTGGGTCAGGAAAGATGAAACTTATGAGGAATTATCCTCAGGTAATGTAGATTTAAGTTTGTTCAAATTATGACCTCCGGGGTAGGGTGGGGCCAAAATGGCCGATCAAAGTTTTACATGGGAATATATAGGAAAAATCTTTAAAAATCTTTTTCTCAAGAACCATTGAGACAGGAAAGATGAAACTCATGTGAAATCATCCTCATGTGCTTTTTCCTAGCCGATGTGCTCAGGTGGGCGATGTGGCCCCTGGGCCTCTTGTTATTGAATAAAATTAAAAGGCGATAACTCTTCAAACCAGGACAAGGGCATAAATTATGCATGTTCTACACTTACATACTGATCTTAAGCATAAATATTATAACAGAGTTTTCAGTCTATTCATATCTGTTATGCATTCCATTGAATCTGAGGCAAATATGGGGCGGATACCTGAAGTGTGGAGAACTTAAGACCATGCTTATGATGAGATCAAAAGACAAAAGGTCAAGGTTGCAAGATCATTTAACCACTAGAAGCATAGACTGGGTTACAACTTTAATTGAATTATGTCTTTAAATGAACATAATCCTTTTTGGTTTTGATTTCTGTCCTTATTCTTAAGTCCCTGAATTACCTTGTTTAATTCCTCAAACTAACTCCCGAAATATTTCAACACATATCGGGAAGTTCTTCATATACAATCCTAATTTCTATCCCATTTTTACATTGTGTTTAAATCCCGTTTTTGTGTTTCTAACAATATTTTGTTTTGTTTCAGACAAGGCATCTGTCAGCAAACTCTAAAGGACCCCTGTGTTCTCATCACCAACGATGATTTCTACCGCGTACCAGCCATATCATCAGGTGTCTCAGCCAGTCAGCAGTCTTACTATCATACGGGACCTTCCCTTGGTTTGGAGGAAGATCTTCCCATTCCTGATTTCAACCATCTTCCTTCCAGCCTGGAGGAAGAAGATAACAACAACCACACCAATACTCTAAGGTCCGCAATTTTCCAGAAGATCCTTAACAGCTATCCGCAGCTCAACAGAAAACTGAAGAGGAGCCATCATGTTGCTAAGAAGTTTCAGCAGACACCAAGCAACCTATCCGACTGTGTTTACCAAACTTCGTTGACCCCTGACACTACTGATGATGGCACCTTTAGTGACCTGGCGTCCAGCATCATGGATGACGAGTTTGACGGCGGATACTGCAGTTTCAGTGACAATGCCTCTGTGAATTCCAGCGGATCGATCTCTCCAAATTCCTCCGCGGTTGAACTTTTGCAACAAAAGCTTCTCTGTGACGTTGATGTGAAAACCGAGTGTTCGAAGTTCGAAGAAGTGTGCTCCAATTTGGACAAGATAAGCAAAACGTGTGACGAAACGACGAAATCGGTTACCTATGTTGTGAAGTCGATGCCCAAACCAGCTAAATACCAGTGTAATGTATGTGGGAAAATCTACAAAGGAAACACAAATCTCAACTACCATATGGCGACACACACCGGAGTACGTCCTCACAATTGTTCCGTCTGCGGGAAAGCCTTTACCCAGAAGTCCACACTGCGTACTCACTTCCGGATCCACACTGGCGAAAAACCGTACAAATGCAGGACTTGTGTGCGCGCATTCGCCGACTACTCCACGTGTATGAAGCATGAGCGTACCCACAGCGGTGAGAAGCCTTACGCATGCCCAGTGTGCGGGAAGTGTTTTGCCCAGTCCGGAAATATGCTCCGTCACCGCCAGACACACAAGAAAAACTGATGCAAGTGCTCACATTCTAATACTCCAAACACAAGTGCCAAGTCATTTTCAGAATCTCTGAATACAAACGAAAAATAAGAGGATGCAATCCATCAACAGACTTGTTCAAGAACATGTTTTTATTGTGTTGAAATGTTAATGCAGAACTCTCATTAACATTTCGTTTTCATAATGTTGAATGTTTGTGCAGAAAATTTTGTATAACATTTAATTAATGTCATGTGTATGAATGTATATAATTGTTTTGATGTTAAGGTGCTTTGAGATTATTTTGTAAGATATAATTATAATTACTGACTTGTTAATAAATATGAAAACTTTTACTGAAATTGTTTGAGTAATATTTTGCTATTCATAGAGATAGGAGAGAGCGGGATTTGAAAGCTATACATATATTATAAGGTACATGAAAGCAAATTCCTATGTAACCACTCCTCTATGTACAACTTGGTATACATGTATATTGAATAATGAGTATTCGCATGTTAAAATGTTATTGGTATTTGCTGTTTTCAAATAGCTAAGCACTTTATCTTAAAAAAAGGAGGGGGATTCGAAAATCGCAAATTCTACAGACATAAACATGCTTTAATTTGCATACAGTATCATACCATAATATCTAGAGTAACCAATTTAAAGAAGTGTAAGCGGGTTGCCATTCCCGATAACACCAGACGGTTTTTTCGGGCATGGGGGTGATCCAGTCTCTATTGTTCACTAATGTCTTGACGAATTCTGTTTTGCCCGATTTCGAGGGTCCAGCAATCACCATGGTAAACTCGTGTTTCAATTGAAAAGAAGGGAGGGGTGTCTCCTCGGAATACATGTTGATCAATGAAGAAAAAGTTGGGTTCAGGGTCTTATTTATAGTTAACACAGAAATAGGCGTTTGGACTGTTGAATCTCGCCTCGACAGATGGGACAAAACTGAAAGGAAGGAGCACACAAAGCACAGCAGCACACGTGTCCGCAAGGTAGAAAAACGATTTGTAATTCCTCGTCTAAACAAATGTGACATTTTCCTCGAGCCTGGACGTCTGGTTCTGGGTTCAGTAGAGGTTTGATCTCAGGTAAAGGTTTATATCCCTGCTGATCTAAACCCGCAATGAACACATTCATCACCCATCCTCGTCCCTTATACAGATTGATGTAAGGACAGTTGGGGTTCCAATAAGCATGTTCTACACAAGGATCGTCCTCGGGATCCCAATTACTAAAAATCATTCCACAATGAAAACAGGTAGCGTTATCTTTCACTCCCCTGTAGTAAAACCCGGCTCGAGCTAGGTCTGGTATTTTTCCTAAGAGAGGTTCTGGCCATCCCTGCTCAAAAGTAGCTTCTCTCTTTGAGAGCCGAGCATACTGGGGATAACGCATGGGTTGATCTAGCAATTTCTCAGTCATGACTGAACTTTTGATTTGTATTGCTCCCCTTTTTATAGGGAAGAAGAAAAACAACAACACATAAAAAAACAATTCAATTTTTTTTTTTAATTCAAAAAGTCAAACATATCAACATATCAATAACCATAAGGTAAAGTGTTATAAGAGGGTAACAATTGTCTCTTATCATATACAATTCTATACTTTTTCTCTAAAGGTTTGTTCACGAGCTCATGATCACGAGTCCTCTGGATTTTGTCGGGATAAGGGACTGTGACTTCCTCTATTTCTCCTTTGAGCATTTTTTCTAAAGTCTCTGGGCACACGATCTGGGAGGTACGATGGTTGAGAGTGATTCCTTTGACTTTATGAACCTCGGTTCCTTTGGCCGTCCGGTAAGCATAATTTTTAGGGCCTGCCGACATGAATTTGATGATGTGATCCCCGTCTAATTCGTCGGTCCATTCTCCTAAACTATTACCCAAGGTAGGATTAAAGGCTCCTTCCCGATGTTGGTAAATGATACTGTCCGTATCGAAATAAAGGACCCGATCTCCTAAAGGTTGTAAAGTCTCGTAGAGGTGTAAGCGGGCATGCGCGGTAGTAAAACAAGCCAGGACCACGTTTCCAAAGGGACATTCTTCGACGAATTCCTGTTTGTCTTGATAATTCACTAGCATCTTGTCCTCATTGGAGTCCTCTTTATTGACTAAGAGTTGCATGCCCTTGATGTCGAGAGTCGAATCTTGTAAGAGTTGCTGTAATTCCTCTTCTTCGTCCAAGTATCTGGTTTTGGGTAATAACAAGCGTTGAGCAAATTTTCCCCACAGACAATTTAAAAAGAGTTTAGCAATGGTTCTTCTCACTGGATTCTTCTCGATACTGAGAATGTCCATTCGGATGCCTGTTTTGTCGAAGACTTGATATATGTAATCTTGTTCTTGTTCTGAGGTCTTACAGTCGGGGGGAAATCCGGAGGCTTCCTGTTTGATCTTGAGGAAGGTATCGATGTAAGATCTGAATAAATCCTGACTGCTTTCTTTAAAATGCCATACTTCGTAGATTCGATCTAAGGTATATCCCATGTCTAGGGCTTTATGTAATTCGGTCGTCACCCAAGTACCCGTGAGACTACGTTCCTGGTCGGTGTGTGGACATCGATCTTGAGACGTAGAGTCCTGTCGTTCGGCACACGTGCGACATAAGGGAAATAATAACTTGCCTCCCGTCCGATAAGGTAATACGGGGTGATAGAGGTTTCGGGGAGGTAAGACCCGACAGTGAATGAGACCGAAATAACTTCTCACGTCCTGGAACTCGTCTGTGATGATCTCGGGATGCCCTACGGGAAATGGTCTGTGTTTCAACACGTAAGGGTATAGGGAACAAACGTCCACGTATCTCATGTCCCTTTCCTCACAATATAATCGGGTGGCATTGGTCCGACCTCCGTACAGGGCTTCTCGAGGTTTCAAAGGATCGGGAATGTCCAGGTTTCCTACAAATTGCTGTAAACTCTCATCTTTTTGCACTTGCTGATCGAAATCGTGCTCCCAGATACCACGGACGGTATACCCCATGTTTTCTAAATCGCCAGTCCTTCTGAGGGTTTCTTCGTGTAATTGCTGGTAAGTATATTGGGTCCGGTGAGGATGAGTTTCGGTCTGTAAACTGGGATAGCAGGTGGGGCATCCGTGCCAATAGCACCCGTAAAATTCGTAGACGGTGCAAGTCGCTTCCTGGTATCCGTCGACGGTATAATTTCCGATCTGGATTTCGCCCCCGTTTCTGGCATGTTGTATGTGACATCCAGTCTGTTGACTCATCCAGGTGAGCCACCGACAGGCTTTAGCCGAATATTGTCGTGCCGGTTGATACCCGAGGTTCGGAATGATGGCTATGGTGTCTTCAGGCATGAATTGTCGACGGTAGGCTAAATTAGCAGCACTGGCAAAAGTGATGGATTCCTGGAAAGGGTCCACATTGACCAAACTCTTGAGGGTGGCTCTAAACTTTGCACAGCATCGGCGTAAAATGTCGACGTCCGAGACACAATACCCTACAAACTCTTTCTGGAAATCAAACACTTTCCCCCTCTGTTGGTCGTACCATTGGAAAAAAGCTTTTCGTCCGCTGGTAGACATTTCGTCCGGTTTGTAGAAAGCTGCCGGTGGATAAGGTCCTACGTAATTCTGGTTCTGTTCCGTATTGAAAAAGTGAGGGAAATAGCCTTTCTTCAATTCGTCGAATCCGAAAGCGGAGGGCATCTTGGCTAATGCAAACGGTAAGAAACTATACGAGTCGATGAATTTCAGTCCGCATATTTCCATGTATAAGATCTTACTGCCGGTCATGATGACGTTAGGTTTCAGGCAAGAGGAATGCACCAGGTGATTCAAAATGAACTGTCCGTCGTAGCCTTTGAAGTTATGGGCGATGATGATGGCCTCGTCGTGTACTAAAGTGGAATTCTTAGTACCTGTAGTGGGTTGTAATAACCAGTCCATGAACTTCTTTAAGGTGTCTGGTCCTTGAAATAGGTGCTGACGGGGTCCCATGTGTTGACAATGAGAACAGGGTTGGTCTATGGGTAAGTGACTGCAATGTTGACAGACGCGGTGTGCCACACACAGATTAGGGATGTGAATGCCGGTTTCCTGAGTGCATTCGAGATCGAAATAGATGTAAAACTCTAAGGTCCCTTTCCCCTTCTTCTTCTTCTGGGGCTTCTGTTGTACGTAGCACTGATGATCGGTATCGACGATTTTCTTACAGATCTTACACTTTTTCTGTCCTCCGCATTTGTGATGAGGGAATAATTTCTTAGGTATCCAAGACTGACACTTCTCGCATTGTTCCATTAAATTGCAGACAGTAGTGGTGGTCTTCTTACTATGGGGTCTTAAATGATTTTCGTAGCAGGTCCTGTTCTTAAACTTTCCATGGCATTCCCGACATTTAATCTCGATCCCTTCATCGGGACAATTAGGGTGTTGTCCTAAACAATAGGTACAGCGATGAGGACACTTGGAGCGATGTTCTGTGACAGTCCTGTATCCCACGTCGCAATGATCACAGTAATATTGGTTCCCCGTTACTCCCGGCATGGATATGATGGCGTCGTAATGATGGTCGTCTAACAATATGTTCAAACAAGTTCCATCTCCCCAGCCTTTGAAGATGCGCTCTAAGGTGAGTTTAGTCGAAGTAGACTTGAACTGAAATATTTTCAGTCGATACTGGGGAGCTAACACCTCTTGTAATTTCGTCCACTCTGCATATCCACAAGCTTGAGTGATATCACACTCGGCCTGTTCCATGAGGGCTATGGCTTCTCGTTTCTGGTTCAAGGATTGCCTATCGCCTAATCTCATGCGTTTCCATTGTTTTTCCCATTCGGGGTCTGGATGTTCGGGTTTTTGACTGTGTAATCGAGTGACGACGATGGCTCTAGCTAAACAAAATTTATCCCAGGGATTGACGATCCGAACGATGGCTCTTTTATTGTTCTTAAAAGTCTCCTTATTCACTTGTAGATGTTTGGTTCTGTCTCCACCACTTCCTTCGGGATACTTGATCCGAAACATATCAAATTCCATGCCCCCGTCGCCCAGTTT